TTTTTGAGATGGAGTCTCTCCCTGTCACCTAGGCTGGAGTACAAAGGCGTGATCTTGGCTCACTGCAACCTCTGCCTCCTGGGTTCAAGCAATTCTCCTGCCTCAGTCTCCCAAGTAGCTGGGATTACAGGCACACACCATCACATCCAGCTAATTTTTTGTATCTTTAGTAGAGACGGAGTTTCACCATGTTGACCTCACATGATGCTTATTTATTAATGATGAGTTACAATTTAATTTCAGTCACTTCAGAATTTACTAATGCCTTTCTCTCCTTTTCACCATATAATTGCCAGTTTAAAAAAATCATTATTAAAAAATGTGCAATAATTACAGGAAAATAGTAAACCATAAATAAAATAAAATAAAATAAAAAAACACCTGTAAAACCAGCAGCCAGAAATAAGCCTATCAAAAATATACTTATATGGCATTTGTTTTTTTGAGATGGAGTTTTCACTCTTGTTGCCCAGACTGGAGTGCAATGGCACGATCATGGCTCACTGCAACCTCTGCCTCTATGGTTCAAGTGATTCTCCTGCCTCAGCCTCCTGAGTAGCTGGGATTACAGGCATGCACCACAATGCCTGGCTAATTTTGTATATTTAGTAGAGACAGGGTTTCTCCATGTTGGTCAGGCTGGTCTTAAACTCCTGACCTCAGGTGATCCACCTGCCTTGGCCTCCCAAAGTGCTGGGATTACAGGCGTGAGCCACCATGCCCGGCCTTCTATGGCATTTTTAAGGACCAAGTGGCATACCATTATACAATTGTACCATAATTATCTCTCTTATTTTTGTACATTTGGGTTGTTTTCAACTTTTAACTTTTGCAAAAGTACTTGTAGCTAAATCTGTGTGCACATCATTATTTTATTCAGAATAAAGTCTGGGAACTGGTGTCAAAAGGTGTGCTCATTGTTGAAGGTGTTTGATTAATATGAAAGATATACAGAAAGATGGCACAGCTTTGACACCAACTTTTCTCCACATCCTTCACTGTCACACCATTTTTTGTCATCTTTGACAATATAATGGAACAATGGTTTTGTATTATTGTTTTATTTAAGCTTTATGCCATTAATTACTAGTAATGTTGAACCTGTTTTATGCATCACTTTTGCCGATTGCCTACACATAATCTTTTGCCCACTTGGATTCATCTTTGTCTTATTCATTTGCAAGAACTCTTTGTAGAATATTAGCCTTTTGCTGCCTATGTTACAGCCATTTTTCCCAGTTTGTCATTTGCTTTTTAAGTCTGTTTATGTGCTCTTTTGACATTGTAGTAGTCAATGCTAGCTGGGCCAAAAATCTGGTCTTGCTGCACATACTCTGCCTTCAGAATAAACACTTAGGAGTAAGCTAGAGATTTTTGTTATCAGTTACTCCACCTGGAGGACCAGCAGGTGGAGTCTCCATGGGTGGAGTCTCTTGGACTGTCACTTGGTTTGGGGTGGCGAAGAGGGACTGAACACCTGGAGAATATGGCTGTCGGGCTCTTTATACAGGTGGACCCCTCTTTCCTATGGAAGCCTTGCATCTCCATCAGAAGCAGCAGGAAAATGGCCTCTGCTCTCTGCCTTTCAAGTCTAACTCAAGGACACCTGAATAGCTGAACCTAGTTACCAGGGAGTTAGAAATCCAACCTATTCAAATGGAAAGAAGGTAGCCAGAGGAGCTACCTACTAGTCCCCACCAAAGTCATGTATCAGGGCTTCCTATCTGGGCTTGTTATCTATTCTGGCAGTTCCAGTCAGCACAGCTACTAGTAAATTTTAATAACTGGCAGTAAAATCTTCCTCCATTAACCTTGATTTTCAGTGTTTTCTTGGCCATTTTCACACATTTTTTCAGGTGTATATTTTTTCATACTATTTGTTTGGATGATAATTGTTTGTAAGTCATTTGAGAAACTGGACATTCACTTGTAATTTCCTGGGCTTCTCCTTATGCTGGCAAGTATCCCTTGTACTAGTTTTAGTCTGAAGTCTGGTAGGTACAAAACTTAGTTTGTGTATTTGCTATTTGTTAGGTGCCCTTTCATCCTGTTGTTTTAAAATTCTGGCCCATAAAGAAACAGCCACACTCACTTCCTCCCTCAATCTTATCGTGCCTCTTGGCAGCTTCTGACATTGTCAGCTGCTCCCTTCTGACACACTTCTCCTGACTCCCACACCAGCATGCTCTCCTGAGTTCCCCCTCCTCTGGCCGCTCCTCCTCAGATTCCTGCTGGGCAAATGCTGAGCTCCCTAGGGCTCTTTCCTAGGCCCTTGTGTCTTCTCATTTTACACTTTCTTTCAAGATGATTCCACAGAAGTCATATGACTTCCAGTATCCACTCCATGTCAAAGGTAGTCTGTTTCTATTGCTTATAACAGAA